GCCGCCCAGACCGGCCGCCTCCGAGACTGCCCGAGCGGTGCTCAGGGATTGTTCTCAGAGCACTGCCTGACGCCGTGGCCCGCGGGAACCCCTCCTGTCAAGTCGGGCACGCCAGGGCTCAGGACCGCAGTGTCCAGGTGCCCGGCAAACAGCGGAGGAAGCCTGGCGCAGCGCTGGGGCAGGGGCAGGGGCAGCGGTAAACGGCCACACGGGAGGCCCCAGGTTCACACCCAGAGGCCTCCCTGAGTACGCCAGGCACCGTGTGTGCCCGTTACTGGGGCTGGTCAAGGCCTGGGGTGCCGGAGCCGTCTCACCTCTGACTCCCGGGGAGGGTTCCTTTCACCTTGGGGTATGACCTGCTGCCCCCCAAGTGTCCACTGTAGCATGCTCCCAGCAGCAGACCGCTGAGACCCACGGGGGAGCGGCTGGACGAGTTGTCACATAGCCTGAAGCTGAATACAACGCGGTCACTAAAACCAGCGGTCTGTGTCTGACCACCAGGACGTGAAGTGTGAACGCGGGGCAGGCGCTTCGGCAGCCACATTGGCGCACGTGGGTGAGAAGTCAGTGTGCCCACGGTGCACCGTGTGAGGGAGAGACCGCCAATAGTCGCTGTTCCTGGGGGGGAAGCTGGGAGGCTGGGGTGGACGGAGACTTCTCCCACGGCCTCCTGTGGAGTTTGGTTTTAGTTTTTGCTATAGGGCGTGTGTGCTCACCAGAGAGAGAGAAAGAGAGGGGACGGGGTAAAAAGCCACTCCCCAGGGGTATCTTCTCTTCCATTCTCCTCTCGGGATTTTGGGCATGGATCTCAGCATGTTTTTCTTTTTCTTTTCTTTTCTTTTTTTTTTTTATAGGGCGTGTGTGCTCTCCAGAAGGGTAGAGACATAGAGACAGAAAGCAAGAAATCACCCCCCAGGGGGGATGGTCACGCCGCAATCCCTTCTCCTCCATTCTCCTCTCAGGATCTTGGGCACGCATGCACACGCAACTGGCGTGAGTTTAAACCACTGGGTCCGGGACTTGAACCGCGGTTGACTACATGGGAGTCCAGCGACATAGCCATTATGCTAACTGCTGGTCCCCTCAGCATGATTTTCAAGCGGCAGGATCTGGGACTCATACCACTCAACCAGCTACGCGGGACCCAGCCGCCTTAACCTCCACACCTGCTGGCCCTCCATTATTTTTAAATATCCTTTTTCTTTCTTTTAAATGATGTGTGTGCATTGTCTATCTCAAACAGCAAAACACCTGGACGCTGCTCTGGTAGCGCCGGGGTTTGAATGTGTCCCCTAAAATTCACGTGAAAACATTTGGTCGTGATGGAATCGAGAGGGTGAAATCTTCACCTGATGACGAGATTCAGAGAGGCGCTTTGGAGGGGATTAGGCTAAGGTCACAGGGCAGGTCCCCACGAGGGAGTCCTGGGGGGTCTGTGAGGAGAGGGAGCGATGAGATGCCCTCGCCACCCCAGGACCCCGGAGAGCCCCTGCCAGCAGGAAGACCCACACCAGCTGCAGCCGCCTGACCCTGGGCCTCCAAACCATGAGCTAAACAAACCCCTGTTCTTGGGGCCAGCAGGTGGTGTGGTGGTTAAGGCCCTGCAATTTCCACATGGCCGACTGCAGTTTGAATCCTGGACCTGGTGGCTTTCTCTTTCTCTCTCTCTTTCTCTGGCAAAACTCATGTGAAACAATAATAATAATAAGTAAGTAAATAATTCTAAAAAAAAACAAAAACAAAACCTGGTTCTTTATAGCCCACCCAGGCTCAGGTAAGAGCCACCGTAAAAGCTGGCCAGGAAGGAGGACGTCATAGCTCTTGGGGCCACTAGGAGGCCACTAACAGTCACTGGGTCTGGCAGCAGTGAGCACCAAGACTCTCCTGGGTGTGGGGGCAGAGGGCAAGGGCGGTCTACACTGGCTTCACAGAGACTCATTTCTTACTCTCTGCTCCCCTTCATTCAATCGCGAAGGTCACTCGAGGCCCCAACCCTGGGAGCGGCCTTCTGTGACCTCCATCAGGCAAGGGCCAACATGGCCCCCACAGTGGAGAGGCTCATCCCGAGGCTTACTGTCTGCTGAGCCTCAGGGGCAAGGGGCACAGTGTTCAGTCTGGAATTAAAGGGGACGCATTCATTCTCTGCCCTCTGAAAATCAAGTTGGGGAGACAGCCTGTACCGGTGCAGTTCCCAGAAACTACCACCAGGGGGCACCGCACACAACTTCTGACTTAAAGTTATTCCTAAACTGATTTTTGTTAACTATTTTAAGGTTTTTGCCACAGGGCGTATGCACTTGGCAGAGGGAGACAGAGAGAGGGAAAGTAAGAAAGGGGGATGGGATCCCTTCTCCATTCTCCTCTGGGGTTTTGGCCACGCACACACACGCACCCGGTGTGATTTTCAAGCTGCCAGGTCCGACACTCAAACTGTGGTCACCATGTGGGAGTCAGCACCTGCACACACCACCTGCTGACCTCTATTTTCGAAACCGACTCTCACCTGGAAATAGAATCTTTTCGGCCTGCTGCTACTTCCAGCTCAGTCTGGGCTGGCTGGCTGCGTGTTACAGGGCACAGGGAAGGCAGGAGCAGCTAGACCTCCACCGTGAGCCTGGTGGGCCACAGGGCGTGGTGATTTTG